ATTTGAAGTCAAGTGCGTTTTCATTACATTTTAAAAACAGGCCAAATATTCGGAACAAACAGTTGTGTTGATCGGACGTGTTTTTTCTTTGCTCCGTGTTTGTTTCATTTATTTTCTGAGTTGTGATGTCGCTCTTACGAACGCGCTGTGGTTTGTGCAGTAAATCGATTGCGAAAGACAATGCTATAAATTGCTCGCTTTGTAAGGCCGTTTTCCATCAACTGTGTTTGGGAATTGATATCAACATTTTTCATAATTCTAATGTTGTGTACAATTGCGATAATTGTGTTGGAATTAATTTGCACGCTGTTGTTGCTGATTTAGTGGCTGAGGTTAAAGACCTAAAAGAACAGCTTTCCAAATTGGGTGCCTTCAACTCTGCTGCATATGCAAAATCAACTAGTGCATTACCCACCAACAATACTGGCGTTTTTTCGTTTCCCGAAGTGCCTTCAAATTTGAGTGACTCTGCTGCTATGCCAACGCAAGCAGTGAGTGTGACTAAATCTACTAACAATGCGGCAGTAAATGTGACATCGGATGGTAATGCTGAGAATATCATCGTGCCGTCGTCTTCGAACTTAGCAACGAAGTCGGCTGATACCATTGCTAATGAGTGGATGATGGTGGGAAATAAAAACAAAAACAAAAATAAAAACAATAACAAGCAGCAGAAGAAGACGAACCATCGTCAACGTGAAAAACCTCTGGTTGGCATTAGTGAGAGTAGTGAACTGCTGGTGGCTTCACGTTTGAAATACTTACACCTGGGTTCATTTAAACCTTCGGTTCAGCCAGAAAATATCGTTGACTATGTCGTTAAATATACGGCAATAGAAAAGCAACACCTTAGTTGTATCAGGTTGACGAAAAAAGAGCAGCAACTAGAGTCTCTCCGATTCGTGAATTTCAAATTAGGGGTGATCGAATCTGACTATGAGAAACTACTGAAGCCTGAGGTTTGGCCTGCAAAAATTTCGATTCGACCATTCCGTTTTTTTCGAAAAAAACAGATCCAACCACCTCGAACCTGATTGTTCGAAATAATAACAATAATAAATTAAAAATTTACTATCAAAATGCTTCTGGCCTTAGAAGTAAAACAAGCAGTGTCTACATGCTAAGCTCTCTTCTGGAATATGACGTGTTTGTTTTAACAGAATCATGGCTGAATAATAATTTCTACGATGCTGAGTATTTTAATTTGAACTGTTTTGATGTGTTCCGTAAGGACAGAGATCCAATTAAAACTGGTTTTAGCAGAGGAGGTGGCATACTTATAGCAGCTCGTTGCGGTTTGCGTGCGTCCCTTTATGAGCTACATGATAATGACTCGCTTCTTGACTAATTGTGTGTTCGTTTATGTGGTTCTTTCGGCATACTGTATATATGCGTATCATACATCCCCCCGCTTAGTGATGAATGCCTTTATAAATCGCATGTTGATAATGTTCTTGCTCTTCAGCGTGATATTGGCAGTGATCAATTATGTGTTCTTGGTGATTTTAATTTGAGCAATGTAAATTGGAATTATCTTGATAATAGTACTTACTTGACTCCTGTAAATGTTTCTAGTTGTAATGAATCATATGTTATTGATAACTTTTTGAGTGTTGGTTTAAACCAAATTAATGGCTTACGAAACGATTTAAGCAGAATTCTTGATTTAATTTTTATAAGTAGTGATTTTAACTTTGCGCTGTCGCAAGCTGTGACTTCTATATCCCCAGCTAACTTGCATCATATGCCAATTTTACTGGAAATTGAATTTTATGAATTCTTTAATATTGCCTCTTCAACTTTACCGTTATTTAATTTTGATCGCTGTGACTTTGAAGGTCTGAATGAAACGCTTAATTTAGTTGACTGGGACTTTATCTTCCAAAGTAATGAAGTTGCAACTTGTTTTAGCAGTTTTAAGAGTTCCATTTTGGCGTTGTGTAGCAAATTTGTTCCTACTTTTAAGAGTAAAGTTTATAAGCTTCCTTGGTATTCTGCTGAGCTTAAGCATCTAAAAAATTTGAGAAATAAGTTTTTCAAGAAGTACAAAAGTACTGAGAGGACTAACTTTTATGAGCTGTACGTTTTTTATAGGAAAAAGTTTAATGATTTGAATAAGTCTCTCTATGAAAACTACATAAATAACTTCGAATTGAATATAAAACCTAAAATGTTTTGGTCATATATAAAGTCTAAGAAAAATGTTTCAAGTATACCAAAAACCGTGTATTTTAATGATGTCTCTGCATCTTCTCTTATGGAGGCTGCAGATCTTTTTGCTGAATTTTTCTCATCTAATTTTGACTGTGATAAGGATTTGACCCGTAATGAATTGGCTGCTGTGCATCACTCCACCTCTTCTTTTGCTTTTGGTTCAATAGTTCTGTCGGATAATGATATTATTGAAGGGCTAAAAAATGTTAATGACTCTTCTCAGACAGACGTGGATGGGTTATCCATGAAACTATTGAAGAATTGCCCAGCACTTGTTAAACCTCTTACCAAAATGTTTAATTTATCTTTAGCCTCAGGAGTTTTTGTTGATGCTTGGAAAAGCACTACTATCACCCCTGTTTTTAAGAGTGGAAATAAAAGTGATATAACAAACTATAGACCAATATCTAAGCTTTCGTCTGTTGCTAAGTTGTTTGAATGCATTATAAAGGATAAAATTTACTTTAACGTGAAGCATCTTATTTGTCCAAATCAACATGGATTTGTAACTGCAAGATCGACGGTCTCTAACCTTGCAGTATTTATAGAAGACTGTCGCTCTTGCTTCCGTAAGGGTCTACAAATGGATGCCATTTACACGGATT